ACATATGTAGATAGTGGAAAATTTGTATACATTTGTGGTCTGTCCTTTTTCTCCTGGTGATCTGAATAAAACATTACTTTAAAATTTTTTTTTAAGAGCTTCATTGTGGTATAATTTACAACTGGCAAAATCTGCCCATTATAAATGTACAGTTCACTAATTTCTAGTCTATTTATATAGCTATGCAACCATCACCACACAAAAAATCATTTTTAAGAAAAATGGGAACAACCAAGATGGTAGCATAGGTAAACACCTGTACTTGCTGCCTCTCACAACCACATCAAAGCTACAACTAAAAGACAAAACAAATATCATCCAGAACCACAGGAAAGCTAGCTGAGTGGAAGTTCTACAACTAGAGGAAAGAAAAAGGCGCATTGAGACTGGTAAGAGCTGCGGAGGTGTGGAGGCATGCGTGAAACAGGCTGGCAACTGGGTGCGCTGTTGTTGTTGTTTTCAATCAGGAGAAAGATACAAGCTCCCGATTGCTCTGAACTCCAGTTCCAGGCGAGACTCTGGGGACCCAGACTCATATGGGGAGAAACTGGACTGTCTGGCATCGGGCCAGAACACAGGGCGGCTTTCTCTCAGAGGTGCTTGCAGTGATCATTGTTCCTGCATGGGGCCACGGGACAGAGAGGCCCAGGGACCTCTCTGAGGCAGGGCTGACTGGCAGCCATTGCTGTTTGCTACGCCCTGGTGATTCCCTGAGACCCCTGCCCCACCCAATTTACAACCCCACCCAAGCCATGCACAGTGGCTTTTGCATATGAATAGCCTGTCCTTTTACAACCTAAAACCTAACAAACTGCAGCTGGGTCAGAGAGCTCCAAAGCTTCCAAAAGAAGGCCTAAGGCCCAGCAGCAGCAGCCTGCATTGCTTCACAACTGGGCCTCATCTGGGTCCTTCCAAACCCCAAACAAAGAGGAGGAATATGCAGATCTCTCTGTAGCTCCTGCTGGGTGGCCTCAGGCAGTGGCTGACTTTGCACCTCCTTGGAGATCCAAGAGCCATTGTACCCAGTGGTCAGTGTGAGACTATACCAGATTACAACTCTTCATGTCCATAAGAGACACACCTCAGGAGCAGGGGAAGGTGGAGAAGACCTAAGAAGCAATCAGGGCCAGCAGTCGCCGTTTGCTCCTACTGACAACGCTGAACAATCGGGACCGGTGCCAGGTGCTGGCAGTGGGTGCAAGCAGTGGTTCTGGTGCCAGGAGCAGGTGCGAGCAGGGCCAGCACCAGCAGCAGGTGCAGGCGCCCAGCAGGACCACAGTGTGCAGGAACAAAGAATTTTCAGTAACCACCAGAAGCTCACCTTGATGACAGTGACCAGCGCCCCACCTTGGTCTGGTGCCCCCGCTCACCTGCTCCACCATCCTGCTTCGGCCGATGCCCACCATATTGTGCACTCTGCCACCTGCTGTTGATGCTCACCATGTTCCGTGCACGCCCCCTGGTGGTCAGCGCACATCATAGCACATATTCGGTTGTTCAATTGTTCCGCCATTCAGTCTATTTGCATATCAGGGTTATATATATATGTATACATATATATATACACACATATATAATATATATATATATGTATACATATATATTTATAAACACACACATATATGAAAGGAAATAGAGATGGTTCATCAAAAGTACTGCTGAGATCAATGCTACTAAGTACTTTAGACTTAAAAAAAGGAACAAGCTGGAGGATGAGTATATTAGAGACGACAAGATGAAAAACACTGACATTTAAATTATAGACAAGAATGATGAAAAGGACATAGCAGACAGAAATGTGTGTGTGTGTGTATATATATATATATATATATAGAGAGAGAGAGAGAGAGAGAGAGAGAGAGAGAGAGAGAGACTAGAGGCCCAGTGTACGAAATTCGTGCAAAGGTAGGGTCCCTAGGTCTGGCTGGCAATCAAGGCCAGTCGGGGCCTTCCTTCATTCCGTGCTGCCCCCTGGTGGTCAGCGCACATCATAGTGAGAGATCAAACTCCCAGTCTCCCAGTGTTCCTGAGGGAACACTTTGCATATTGGCCGTTTACATATAGAGATATACAATAGTCATGTATTGTTGGTACATAATTTATAGTTGCTAATATGGGTAAACACCCATGAAATGATTATGATTACATTTAAGAAATCCTATATAATAAAAGCCTAATATGCTAAGTGTCTGATCATCCAGTCGTCCGTTCAACCAATCAAAGCATAGTATGCTAATGATATGCTAAGGCTACTCAACTGCTTGCTATGACATGCCCTGACCATCAGGGGGCAGACAGTCAACCAGTTAACCAGTTGCTATGACTGCACTGACCACAAAGGGGCAGATGCTCTGACTGGTAGGTTAGCTTGCTGCTGGGGTCCTGCCAATCAGGACTGAGCGAGATGGGCTAGACACGCCCTGGAGCCCTCCCGCAGTCCCTCCCCAGCTGGCCAACCTTCTGTGTCCCTCCCAGGCCCCGATCGTGCACCAGTGGGGTCCCTTGGCCTGGCCTGCACCCTCTCACAATCTGGGACCCCTCAGGGATGTCAGAGAGCCGGTTTCAGCCTGATCCCACAGGCCAGGCCTAGGGATCCCACTGGTGCACAAATTTGTGCACCAGGCCTCTAGTGTGTGTGTGTGTGTGTGTGTGTGTGTGTGTGTATACAAAAAAAATCATATGGAGTGGATGTGGGGGTGACTAAGAAAATATGGGAAAATGTTAATCATTTGTGAATCTAAGTGGAGAGTACCTTGGAGCTTATCTTCCAAACGTGCAATTTTTCTGTATAAATTTTTAAAAATTTTTAGAGAAACTATATCCCTTTAGTTCAATGATTCTCTGACCTAGTAGCACATTAGAATCACATGTGAGCCTTTAGAAACTATAAATCTTCTGCTGGAGATTTTGCTTTAATGGTCTTGGATGAGGTCCAAGCATCTGAATTTCTTTGAAATCTTTCTGGAGAAATCTTTTTTCTTTTTGTACTTCTTTTGCTTCCTTTCAAACATCTTGCAAGGGTCCAGGCATAAAACAAGCCCTGCCCTGGCCGTTTAGCTCAGTTGGTTGACTGTCATCCCATGCATTGAGAGGGTGCTGGTTCAATTCCCGGTCAGGGCACATGCCAGGATCATGGACAAAGTGAATTCATTTTAAAAAAGTAATTTCTTAAATGTAATCATAATCATTTCATGGCTGTTTACCAAAATTAGCAACTATAAATTATGTGCCAACAATACATGACTATTACCTGTAATATGTGTGTAACTTTCCCATTATGACAGATAGGAGGCTTTAACCCTGCACAAGAATTGTGCTAATTGTAATTTTAGATGGCCAGTGCTTTAGGTCTTAAATACCCATTCCCCTCCCTAAAACAACCCTGTCAGATGTAGAGAATGAAGGCCAGTTATATGCGACTTCCAAGGAAAGGCAATAGAGATGGTTCATCAAAAGTACTGCTAATATCATTGCTATTAAGCACTTTAGACTTAAAAAAAGGATCAAGCTGGAGGATGAGTATATTAGAGGGTACAAGATGAAAAACACTGATATTTAAATTATAGACAAGAATGATGAAAAGGACATAGCAGATGGAAATGCTTAAATGTATTTGAATACAGAAAAACAAATGCCTCATCTATATATATAAAAGCCTAAGTAACCGTCCAACTGTTCGACTAGTAGCTATGATGCTACTGACCACCAAGGGGCAGACACTCAATGCACAGGCATGGAAACATGGAACAGACTGATGAATCTCAGAGGGAAATGTGTGTGTGTGTGGCGGGGGTGGCGGGGGGGAGGGAGAAAAGATTAACCAAAGATCTTATATGCATACTAGAGCACCAGTTCACGGATTCATGCACTGGTGAGGTCCCTTGGCCTGTCCTGCAGGGATCGGATCGAAACAAGCAGTCCAACATCCCCTGAGGGGGCATCACAAGAGGGCACAGGCCAGGCCAAGAGACCCCACCAGTGCATGAATCTATGCACCGGGCCTCTAGTAGATAGATAAAGCAAGAAAAGGGCCTGAAAAAGAGTCAGAGATTCACTGGACTAAAAAGTATCTTGAGATAATTTAAGACAAGATTATAAATTGGCCCAGACTTTTTTCTTTTTTTTTTTCTTCTTTAAATCTCTGGAGCAGTTTTTAAAAATTACAGTAACAAGTTCTAGAAAAGAAATGTGTTGCAAAAGTTATAGTAAAAGAAAATTAAGCCCTGGCTGGTATGGCTCAGATGGTTATAGCATCATCCCATGCAGTGAAGTGTCATGGGTTTGATTCCTGATCAGGCACATACCCAGGTTGTGGATTCAATCCCTGGTTGGGGCATGTATGAGAGGCAATCAATCAATGTTTCTCACATCAACACTTTCTCTCTCTCTTTCCCCCTCTCTCTTCTTTTCTCTCTAGAATCAATGAAAAACATATCCTCATCCATAGCTGGTTTGGCTCAGTGGATAGAGCATTGGCCTGTGGACTAAAGGGTCCTGGGTTGGATTCTGGTCAAGGGCACAGGCCTGGGTTGTGGGCTCCACCCTCCAGTGTGGGCCAATTGGTTCTCTCTCATCATTGATGTTTCTATCTCTCTCACCCTCTCCCTTCCTCTCTGAAATCAATAAAAATATATTTTAAAAGAATATCCTCAGGTGAGGATTTTTTAAAGAAAATTAAATAGGAAGAAGAGTATACTTCTGAAAATTCATCTAATACAGAGTCATTATGCTAGACTAATGACAGCATAATAGAATTTCTGGGCACATTTGAAAAGGGTACCCAAGCATCACAAACTCAAGTTGCAGTTTGCTTCAGTAACAATAGCATGATTATCACTCTCATGAGAGAGGCTCCTGTGTTACAGAAGCCCCTAGTGAATTAGAATATCTTGAAGGGCTCCGGTGAAATCCACTTAGGCCACTGAGGATGGAATTTAATTTGTGAATCCTTTTTTCAGTATTCATTATTAAATTGGGAAGAGAAACCAGTGAGACTGGTAAACTGTTTCAATACTTCTTTAATAATGCTCTGAATTTACACAATAGTTCGACTAATTACTGTGGCTGCACGATATGCAGTGGTTCTTTATTCTCCCCACCGTCATTAAGGCAAGGGCAGAAGTAGGAATAAAGTTTCTCCGTGAAAGTACTAATGAAGGTGTAAATGTGGGTCATGGTTTTAGCATTGTAGAAGGACACCTGCCCTCCTTCATAATCTAAGTATATGCCCACCTTGTCAAGGTCGTTAGTCAGCTTCAGACTGCAAGAAGGCAAATCCAGAGCCTTTAGATCATTTTGGTTCCTTAGTCTTAAAAGCCAGAATCCTTGCTCAGGAGTTAGAGGACAGCTGCCTTTCCGAATGATGGATTCTCTGACAACGCCAACTGTCCACTTTGTCTTCTTTGCTACTTCTACTTCCCAGTACCATTTTCCAGATGTGAAGCCTTTTGAGCCCAGCACAGCCACACTTGAGTCAAACCTCTCTGGATCATCGGGCATTACCTGCTTAATGTCACCATGCCACACACTGGTTCGGGTTTTGGACAGCACCAAATTTGGGTGCGCGGTTTTAGGGTCCAGAGTTAATGTAAATAAGCCTAATAAGAAAATAAGAGAAAGCAGGGCATGGGAGAAAAGGGGTGAATGCATATTCCCATAGTAGAAGTCAGTATTTATATAAACACCAATAATTTCTCTCCCCATATATATACTTACATATACTCGTTACTGTTTTGGTATCTATGTGGCTATATTCTAGACATTTTTATATTTGTGATAAAAATTAGACTGTACTCTGAAGCAATTTATTCTCTAATAAAGAAAACAATACAAATAATATAAATCTGTACTAGTATGTGTCAGAAAATACAAATGCTGAAGAGGTAACACTTAGGTAAATTTGTCCTAGGAAAGCTTTCTAAGGACAATAACTATTTCCATTGTGATATAACATCTATGAAATGTATTCAGGATGCTTTGGGTAAACAGAGGCAAAAAAGCAATGGGTTAAAAACAAGTAGCTTATGTGGGAGAGAACATAAGGGCTTGCCTGTTAGAGTCAGTCAAGATCTAGCTAACTGATAGAGTCTTTAGAGGACAATGATAAGTTTATATTTGGTTTCTTAGATAACGAGACTTGAGATCTAGAATGGTTTGCCACTGCTAATCAGAATGTGGTCCATAATCTGTGGACCCCACTGGTGCATGATCAGGGCCAGGGAGGGACACAGGAGGTTGGCCAGCTGGGGAGGGACTGCGGGAGGGCTCCAGGGCGTGTCTAGCCCATCTCGCTCAGTCCTGATTGGCAGGACCCCAGCAGCAAGCTAACCTACCAGTCAGAGCATCTGCCCCTTTGTGGTCAGTGCAGTCATAGCAACTGGTTAACCGGTTGACTGTCTGCCCCCTGATGGTCAGGGCATGTCATAGCAAGCAGTTGAGTAGCCTTAGCATATCATTAGCATACTATGCTTTGATTGGTTGAATGGACGACTGGATGATCAGACACTTAGCATATTAGGCTTTTATTATATAGGATTTCTTAAATGTAATCATAATCATTTCATGGGTGTTTACCCATATTAGCAACTATAAATTATGTACCAACAATACATGACTATTGTATATATATAAATGGCCAATATGCAGTGTCCCCTCAGGAGTTCAACCAGGAGACCGGGGGTTCGATTGCTCACTATGATGTGCGCTGACCACCAGGGGGCAGCGCAGAATGAGGGAAGGCCCCGACTGGCCTTGATCGCCAGCCAGACCTAGGGACCCTACCTTTGCATGAATTTCGTGCACTTGGCCTCTAATCTCTCTCTCTCTCTCTCTCTCTCTCTCTCTCTCTCTCTATCTATATATATATATATATATATATATATATATATATACACACACACACACACACACATTTCTGTCTGCTATGTCCTTTTCATGTTTCAGATGTTCCTCTTTTTACTCTGTTTCCCACACTCACATCTTCCCTACTTAGTGAAACTTCTCAAATGAGTGACCTATTTACTTCACTACAACCTCATCCAAATCACTCCTGGAATTCTTCTCCGGAATCATTCTTTATTTTCTAGTCCCTCCCAGGCCTTTGTTTAGATATTAACAATTTTTACCTAGATGGCTACTGCAAACTCTAAGTTTGTCTTCTAGTCTCTTGGGAGCAGAAACTATGTCTTTTACTTCTATGTGCTTGTGATGTGTTCCAATTAAACTTTACTTACAAAACAGGCAGCTGTATTTGCCCCAAAGAAAGTAAAGCACAAATATTTATAAACAAATGTTATGCAAATTTATTGATAAGAGCCATAAACTAAAAACTACCCAAATGTCCATCAATTGGTAAATGAATATGCAAATTGCAATGTATCCATAAAACATGATTACTGATACATGCAACAACATAGGTGAATCTCAGAAAGCATTATTCTAAGTGAAAAAAGCCAGACACAAAAGACTACAGAATATGTAATTCCACTTACATGAGATTTTAGAAAAGACACAAGTGGAAAAGGGCAGATTTAGTGACTCTCAGGGGTTAGGGATAGAAGGAAGAGATTGACTGCAAAGGAATACGTAGGAACTTTTTAGGATGACAGAAATTTTTTATATCTTGATTTTGCAGATGTTTACATAAGTATATATATCTGTCAAAACTCATCAAATTGTACACTTAAAATGATGAGTTTATATCTATGAAGTTTGGGGGTTTTTTGCTTAATCCCTTCACCTTTTTTACTCAGTCCCCTAACACCCTCCCCTCTGACAGCTGTCAGTCTGTTCTCTATATCTTTGAATCTATTCCTATTTTGTTTGTTTATTTTGTTCATTAGATTCCACATATAAGTGAAATCATATGGTATTTGTGTTTCTCTGGCTGGCTTATTTTACTTAGCACAATACTCTTAAGGTCCTTCCATGCTGTTGCAGAAGGTAAGTTTTCCTTCTTTTTTATGGCTGAGTAGTATTCCATTGTGTAAATGTAACACAGCTTTCTTATCCACTCATCTACTGATGGGCACAGACAACAGTATGGTGATCACCAGAGGGAAATGGGGGTTGAGGGAAGTAGAAGAGAATAAAAGGGGAATAAATGTGACAAAAGGAGACTTGACTAGTGTGGTGAATACAGTAAAATGTATTATAGAATTGTACAGTTGAAACCTACATAATTTTATTAACCAATGTCACCCCAATAAATTCAATAAAATTTTAAATGATGATTTTATTCTATGTTAATTGTCTTATTAAAGCTGATTTTTTATTGTCAATTATCTGGAAAAATTGTTAACAGGAATAGATTTGTGATTTTCATTAAGTCAGTAACTACTAATAATAATGAAAAAGTTTTTAAAAACTGTGGTACATCTACACAATGGAATACTATGCTGCAGTAAAAAAGAAGGAACTCTTGCCTTTTGCAACAGCTTGGATGGAACTGGAGAGCATTATGCTAAGTGAAATAAGCCAGTCAGAGAAAGATAAATACCACATGATCTCACTCATTTGTGGAATATAGAGAACAACATAGACTGATGAACAGGGACAGATCCAAAGACAGAGAAATAGCAATCAGACTATTAATCCCCAGAGGGAAAGTAGGGGAGGGTGGGGGTAAGGGGAAGAGACCAACCAAAGGACTTGTATGCATGCATATAAGCCAAACCAATGGACATGGACAACAGGGGGATGAGAGCATGAGTGGGGGGGGGGGGAAGGATGGGGGTGAATGGGAGGGAATGAGGACACATTTGTAATTTCTTAACTAATAAAGAATTTAAAGATTAAAAAAAAATTTTTAGAACTTTGTAGTATATAAATATTTTTATTTAGAATTTTATGTTATTGAAATGCCATTTGTGTTCTTTTGTCCTGCTCAATTCTTTGGTATCTGCAGGATGACAAAAACTTAGAGTTCATATTAGGCACACCTATTTGAATTATTGGGTGTTTTGTTGTTGTTGTTGTTTCTTGAAGCACTGAAGATCTCTAAACAATCTTCTAAGATATTATACTCCATTTTATGAACATCAAACAAAAAGGACCTATAAAAACCCTATTACATTCTAAGAGTATATATAATAAACTCCTCCTTCAGGGCAGAAAAGTTCCAGTGATTTATATAACTGATTTAGCAAAACAGTATAAAATATTAGTTGTCACATTTGATAGAACAATTAAAATCATAGGCTGAGAGGTAATTCTGACATTAGACTCTGTTTACCAGTAAAAAGCCATACATTCTTAAGTCATGGTACCAGAAGAAATTCACTCATACCAACTAGCTTTCTTTTGCTAAACTCTACTCTTCCCCCTGTCCCAGACTCTAACGTATTAATTAGGGCCACAGAAGAGGTCCCACAGATGAAACATACATTAGGAGCCCCACGAACCAATAGCTGCTACCCACTGATACCTGGAGAGATAATGGACTGCATTTCCCTCCACATCATGTACTGGATGGGACCTTTGTACAGGCCCAAGTTCAGGTTTCTGGAGATAAGCTCTCTGGGTGTCAGCACTTTTATTCCTTTCTCCACGCTGCAAGGGACATAAATAATTTATTTTAGATATTCTCCAGGGACTGAAGATAGGGTAAGAATACCATATGGAAATACCACTTACCTATCTAAGAAAGGTGTGATGTCCTAGAAGAGGAAAAGAGAAATAGAGAAGTTAGATGCCTGTTCATCAACTGCAGAAATTTCTTTGGTGATACTGGCCATCCCTGGAATTTGATTGTCAATACTGGGACCCATCACCACTTCTCATCCTCCATGTGTGTTTTCTGATCTGCCTCCTTCATCTAACCCAAGATAAACTGGTCTTATCTTGCTCTTATTTTCTAGCTCCCTTTTACATGGAATAAGAGAGAAGTTAAGGTTAGGCTACATTTCCCTATACTGCCATAGTCTCAGGAGAATACAAGAGGTCAAGCATGCCAAACTCGTGGCCCACAGGCCACATGTGGCCCACAATGAATATTTTTTGCGGCCCAGCCAATATAACAGTATGTAAGAAACGTTTTAATAAAAATTTTGTAACTTCATTTTTATAATATCCTGTTATACATAATTATTAATAATGAACTACAATGTTTGCTAATGACTGATTACTGTAATCGTGTTGCATTCATTTCCCTTACGCGCCTTACACACAGGCGCATCATTTCTCTGCACTAATACTAGCAGCGAATATTTTAGCACCCGATTGCCCGTCATTAGTCTTGTACTGACTTGTTTGGTGTGCACAACAGGAAATACTTCGCTTACAGAGAACAAGAAACATAGGTTTATTTGTATTACGCTTGTTAATTTGTGCAGTTATTCAGTATCTGGTAAGTTAATGTTCAAGAAAAAATATTAATTTTATTAAAATGTTCTATTATTTTATGTTAATGATTATTCATTCATTTCAGCCCTTTGTATTCAGCATGTTTCTATCGAAATAAACCTACATTTCTATGAAAATTGAAGTTTTTGGTTTTTTTGCAGCCCACATAAACTTAAACCTTGTTTATTTGGCCCGTGTTAGCCTTTGAGTTTGACATGCTTGCAGTGGGTATTCTCACCCCAAGGCCACTTTTCCTTACTCTGGCTAGTTAAGCTACTGAATGCTGAAGTGGTAACCAATGCCACATTAGAAGTGAACTTTCAATGACCAAATATTGACAAATAGCTTTTCAAACAGGTCAATGTATGATTTCTGAGAGCCAAAGATACAGCTTAGGTTGCAACATTTTATTTTTAAGAAATAAAGCTTCAAAAGTTCTTTATGAAGAAATATTAAAATATTCATACGGTTATTATTGGAATTTTATTGTCTTCCTTTCTAGGAGGGTGAAAGGAAAACTTTCTATTGAGTGTAAGGCAAAAGTATCTTCCTGCTTTTCTCCCAGAGAATTTTTTTAATTTATTTTTTTTATTGTTGACATTATTACAGATGTCCCGCATTTCCCCCTTCGCCTCCCTCCACCACCCCTGGCAGGTTTTTTCCCCTTCATTGTGGGGAAAAGCTGCTTCTATATCCTTTCTGGCCCTCTTTCCCCTAGTAGCATACCCAGTCATTGATATGGAGTCTTACTTTGAGAAAGTTGAAGGAGTTCTGCTCTTCCATCCGTGCCTGGATGCTCACCAACATCTCCTTGACTAGGAGATACTGTTCCTGAAGCTGGTTCAGATTCAGCTCCATTTCCTCATTCAAGACTTTCCCCTCTTCCCGAAGCTCATTTAAAATGTCCTTTTCTTTGCCATGCAGAAATTGATGCAGCTTTAGAAACTCCACGGAGATGTGCTGCTGCAGATGTAGCTTGTTGTCCTGGAAACCTCCATGATCATCACCAGGGTAATTCCTGAGACTAGCTCTTGGGGATGGGGGCCCACACCAACAATACTCACACAACTTGGGAAATACCATAATAGGAAAATATATAAAAATGTAATATCAACATTGAGCCATACTAAAAGGAGCCCTTTTTGTGGCAGATGGGGAGACTTACTCCATCTTTCTCAGCTAGTTTCGCAATTCAGGATGAAATAGTCAAAAGTAACCTGCAGGTTCCTATTGCAGTACTGAGGTGGTAACCATTGCCATGTGAAATAAGACTCTGGGTTAATCAAACATTCTAGAATGAATGATAATACTCTCCTACCCACAAGTATAAGCCAATATCTACCAAGTGATACTGTTAGACTGGGGTCATAAGGAAGTGGAAAGAAATATCCTTCTCGAGAAATCAAAACATCAGAACTGGGGGGGTGGGAGGGGGCACTCCTGCTGCCAAGACAATATAAAAGAAGAGATGGGAGCCCTAGCCAGAGTGGCTCAGTTGGTTGCGCATTGTTCCATGCACTGAAAGGTTGCTGGTTCAATTCCCTTTCAGGGTACATGCCCAGGTTGTAGGCATGCAGGAGGCAGCCCATTGAAGTTCCACTCTCACATTGATGTTTCTCTCCCTCTCCCTTCCTCTCTCTAAAAAAATCAACAAAAATATTTTTTTTTAAAAAAAAAAGAAGAGTTGGGAAATGTTTGAAGCACTAAAATTGATAACTGATATACTTGCAGCTCTTTTCTTAGATGACCTCAACATCCTCATAGGTGAGCCATCTGATATCCTGGCTTCTTGATTCCTTATTCTCATTTCTAGTGATTTCCACCTTTGTCTATTAACTAGAGGCCCAGTGCACAAAAATTTGTGCACTGGCGGGGGGCGGGTATCCCTCAGCCCAACCTGTGCCCTCGCACAGTCTGGGACCCCTCGGGAGATAGCCACCTGCTGGCTTAGGCCTGCTCCCCAGGTGGCAGATGGCAGGCCCGATCCCGAGATGCATGCCCTGCCTCCCCGGGTTGCACATGGGAGGCCCGGATGGCAGCGGGGCGCCCCACCTGCAGTATGCAAATTTAACGGCCATCTTTGTTGGGTTAATTTACATACTCATCTGATTGGCTGATGGGTGTAGCAAAGGTATGGTTAATTAGCATCTTTGTCTTTTATTAGTGTAGATTCTTAGTTACACTGAGGATTTTATCATCCCCAGTAATTTCACCATCTCCAAAATTAACTTTTTACTCAGGTATCCCTATTGCAATTTTGGGTCTCATTGAAACCTGTGTATTGACCCCTTTGTTTCTATTTCTTCAACTTCTTCTGTCTTTATGTCCCTTTTTTATCTAGCTTGGATTCTATGGTCCATCATTGTTATTGTACTCTTAAAATAGTCTTAACTCTCTCTTTCCTCTAGCTTAGTGGTCAGCAAACTCATTAGTCAACAGAACCAAATATCAATAGTACGACGATTGAAATTTCTTTTGAGAGCCAAATTTTTTAAACTTAAACTATATAGGTAGGTACATTGTTATTAACTTAATTAGGATACTCCTAAGGCTTAGGAAGAGCCACACTCAAGGGGCCAAAGAGCTACACGTGGCTTGCGAGCCGCAGTTTGCTGACCATGGCTCTAGCTCATACTTTTCTAGTTTTCCTTTCACTGCTATTTCTTAGTCTTACTTGTTAGTTCTACAGTTACTTGATATTCTGTTATGGACTCTTTTTCCTTCTCATTCTATATCCAACTGTCTATTTGACATCTACACTCACACCTAACATCTAATGAATCACTCCATCCAGATTATTATTTTTTTAATCTCCAAAGCATATGCTGAGGCTGTTTACGTCTTCCCATCTCCATTGCCTCTCTAGACCAAGCTACTATCATCATTCTATGGCAGTGATGGCGAACCTATGACATGCGTGTCAGAGGTGACATGCGAACTCATTTTTTGGGTTGATTTTTCTTTGTTAAATGGCATTTAAATATATAAAATAAATATCAAAAATATCTTTGTTTTACTATGGTTGCAAAGATCAAAAAATTTCTGTATGTGACACGGCACCAGAGTTAAGTTAGGGTTTTTCAAAATGCTGACACGCCGAGCTCAAAAGGTTCACCATCACTGTTCTATGGGGTTATGTGGTAGCTTTCTAACCATTATTCTTGTCATTGTCTCTCTTAATTCATTCTCCACATAGCCACTAGACTGAAATTTTCAAAATGAAAAGTATTTCTTTGGACATAGCTATCTTTAGTGAATTTGCCATAGATAAATTTCTTATTTTGCCATAAATAAGAGGAAAGACCAGAGAAATCACAACACCACAAAAATCACCCAGCAACTGAACCATCAAAAGAAAGAGCATATTAGGGGAAAGGCCATTGTACTTCCCCTGTTTATCAACAATAGGGAACTTGCTCTACTGCTATGTTCCTTTCCACCCTACTGTGTCCGTTCTTTAATGTTATAACTCAAGTTTCATTTAGTGTATTGACACTATATGTATAGTTACCTTTCCACCCTAATAGCTAAGGTTATAAGGAGGGTATATTCTAGTTCTATCTCATAACCCCCTACCCTGCTCCTCACCTTGTAAGCAGCAATAGCATCTCTCTGCCTGTTCCTCAGGGACTGAAGTTCCTTCAGGGTTGCCTCCAGTTGACCCTTAATGATGATAAACTCCTCCTGGGAATACCACATAAATTCAACCCATACTGACTTGGGAGATGAAGGGCCATAAGGGACATCTCCCCCAAGGCACTAGTATGTCAGAAAAAAAAGCCAGCTCTTGCTGCAAAAGTCTTTCCTTTCCCCCATGTCATAGTTCCTGTCTCTTCCAAGAATAGTGAAGGAAATTACAAGCAGCAGAAAAACTTATGTTTTTTTCTTTTTACCTTCTTAGTTAACCACAGGGGTTTGAGGAAAGTAACAGAACTCTATACATTTTCTACCCTAGTTACACTGTTCTAACTACACCTTTATTCACGTTGTTCTCACTTAGAATACTTATTTCTTCCTTTTGTCCATCCAAATCCAAATGATTTTCCCATTCAAACTTTCTTTCACCATACATCACCTGAATGTTTCAATTTTTTCTAATCTTTTCTGAAATTCTAAACATTTATGAATTACTAGTGTGACAAAATTTAGCTCTCAATAGTAATTCTAAAATTACTTCTGTTGTTTTTTTCATTTTGACTAAATTTCAAGAGTTTTATAACAAGAGCAATATTGTATGCATTCACATTCTGCATGGTGTCTAGTAGAGCACTGTCATGGCAGGGTTTCGGTAAATATTTGATTAATTGGATAGTAGGCTACAGCTTCTCCACTACTCCTTTCCCATATTAGCACCTCTACAGAAAGAACATTGTAAGATATATTATATTTTCAGAGCATTCTGGTCTTTCTAATAATCATCTGAGTAAAAGGGTGAAATTGGAAGAGAGAAGTCCTACAGAAAATATTTTCCCCAGCTCTCCTAACAGATTGTTCAAGGCTCACCTACCGTGAAGAAATGGACAGCATCAGAGATCTGCAGGAACTCTTTAGACTGCCCTGCAGACAACCGAGCATCTTTGCATTGAAAGCAGATCAGCTTCCCTTCTGGCTTACTGAACAATTTCAGGTTCTCTCCGTGTTCTGGGCACTGTGGATGGCCCTTGAGTAAGGGTAGATCCTTAATCTTGTCTACCAGCCTCTCCAGGACAAGGTTGAATGCACAATTGGCATATTGACACATCATCTTACACTTAGGACAGAATGTTTCCTTTGTTTGCTGCTTCCAAAAGTTTTGAATACAGGCCTGGCAGAAGTTGTGGCCACAGGTTAGCATAAGTGGATCCCGGAACCAGTCATTACACAGTAGACAGTGTAGCTCCTTAGTAATATCTTGTATCTGCACTTTAGAGGGTATCTGAGTGATCAAATCATTTGCTTCAATGTAGTTGCCTTGGTCAGTGTTGGAGGAGGTTTTGGGAGATACCTTTGGAAAAGAACAGTTAAAATGAGTTCTCTTTCTAGCTATCGACTCCAGGATAGTGGACTCCACTCCTAAAGAAGTTGAGAATTGGTGCAGCCAAAATAAAAGCACCATAATCTCTTCTTTGAAAATGATCTGATAAGTTTTGTAACATCATCATTTATTACTACTTTCAACACCATTTAAACTTTAGTAGAGAACCAAGACAGAAGAAAGGATACTCAACCAAAGAAATACGTTTTGTTGTACATCCCCCTCCACTCACTTGTTTTATGTATCAGTTGGAAGTTTTACCTTCAACGTCTGTTCTCCTAGTTATTACCTTTTTTTGTTTTGGGTTCTAGAAGTCAAGTACAAAGAATTAGAAGATCAATCAGATTCCTCAGTCAATGGCATAGTATCATTCAGGCCTTCTGCTCTATTTTTTATTTTTGTTAATCCTCACCCAAGGATATTTTTTTCCCATTGATTTTTAGAGAGAGTGGAAGGGATGGGGGAGGGGGGGCGGGGGAAGAGAAGAAAGAGAAAAAGAAACATCAATGTGAAAGAAACACATCAATTCGTTGCCTCTCTCACATGCCCCAACCAGGGCCGGGAAAAGAACCTGCAAACCAGGTACATGCCCGTGATCAAGAATAGAACCCATGACCTTTTGGTCCGCAGACCTACACTCTACCACTGAGCCACACCGGCCAGGGCCTGCCCTCCTTTAAGAAAAATTACACAAATAACATTTGTACAGAAAAATGCAGAATCTTACTTGTACAGTTCAATGACTTCCAACACTAAACATTAGTTTTGCCTATTTTTGAATTTTATATAAATTTTGTGACATGTACTCTTGTTGCTGGCTTCTTTTGTCAACCTTACATTTGTGAGATTTATCCATATTGTTCCAAATATACACATTTCTCTTGGCTATACACCTGGAAGTGGATCATAGGATTGGCATATAGTATATAATGCCAAACTTTCTACACAGACCCTAGGTTTGTCCCAAATCTTTATCAACAGTATAAATATACAGGGTATCCCAAAAAAAGTGTATACACACAATACCTGTAGATTCCATTACATTTTGAAAATGAAATGTATTTCAGTAAACACTGCCTTTATAATTATCCAAAGTTTATATACATTTTTGGGGGGACACCCTATATTTATTTTAGCCATTCTGGTGGGTATGCAGTAGTATTGCAATGTGGCTTTAATCTGCATTTGCCTGAAGACTGTGGATATTGGGACCACTTTCAGATGTTAATTGTCCATTTGCATTTCCCCATTTGTGAAGTGCCCATATAAGGCACATATTTTATTGTTAATTTGTCTTTTTATTTATTCACAAGAGTTCTTCACATATTTTAGATATAAGTTCTTCATCAGATACACATATTCCAAATATCTATTGTCACTATGTGGATTGCCTTTTCACTACTTAGTGATATCTACACTAATAAAAGAGAAACATGGTAATTGGCGTACGACCGCTACCCTTTTCATTGGCTAATCAGCGAGATATGCAAATTAACTGTCAGCCAAGATGGCGACCGGCAGCCAGACAGCTTGAAACTAACATGAGGCTTGCTTGCCTCAGTGACGGAGGATCGGAGGATCGTTGGAGGAAACCAACGTTCCCCACCTGCGGCTACAGGCCTCTGAGCCTGCAGTTTCAAACATTGTAACAAATACCGCTGGACTTCAGCCAGCAGGATCGCAACATTGTAAGCAAAGGCCAGAAACCTACTTTCAGCCAGAGGCCTAAGAGCTGGAGCCAAGCCTCAAGCTAAAGCTGGCCCAGAATAAAAAATTTAAAAAAAAGGAAAAAAGGAGAGGTTGGGAGCTTCAGTCACCCCCAGCCTGAAAACAGCCCTCAGCCCCTCACCCAGACTGGCCAGGCACCCCAGTGGGGACCCCCACCCTGATCCAGGACACCCTTCAGGGCAAACCAGCCAGCCCCACCCATGCACCAGGCCTCTATCCTATATAGTAAAAGGGTAATATGCCTCCCAGCACCGGGATCAGCGTGACAGGGGGCAGCACCCAAACCCCCTGATCGGCCCTGCTCTGTGTGTGATGGGGTAGAGCCATAACCTCCCCATCGGCCCTGCCCTGAATATGAGAGTGGCAGCGCCCCAACCCCCTGATCGGCCCTGCTCTGTGTGTGACGGGGTAGAGCCATAACCTCCCCATCAGCCCTGCCCTGAGTGTGAGAGTGGCGGCGCCCCAACCCCCTGATCTGCTCTGCTCCGTGGGTGATAGAGGGCGGTGCCCCAACTCCCCTATAGGCCCTACTCTGTGCGTGACAGGGGGGATCTCCCCAACCCCCTGATGGACCCTGCTCTGTGCGTGACAGGGTACGGAGCCCCAACCCCCCTGATGGGCCCTGCTGTGTGCGTGACAGGGGGTAGCGCCGCAACCCCCTGATTGGCCCTGCTCTGTGCATGACAAGGGGTGGCACCGCAACCTCCCAATCGGCCGTGCTCTGAGCCCGACCAGGGGCTGCACCTAGGGATTGGGCCTGCCCTCTGCCACCTGGGAGCAGGCCTAAGCCAACAGGGCGTTATCTCCCGAGGGGTCCCAGACTGCGAGAGGGCACAGGCCGGGCTGAGGGACACCCCCTCCCCCCCGAGTGCACAAATTTTTGTGCACCGGGCCTCTAGTCTTTTAATAAACAAAATTTTAAAATAAATTTTGAACTTTTTCTTTTTAAGCATAACACCACAGACACATATAACACCACACACACACACACACCATGTACACACCTGCACACAACTTCTCTTTGGGCACACAGCTGCTTACAGAGCAATGGAGGCCCTGTAGTTGGCTCAGAATCTTTTGGGAGTCCTGGACATGTAGCGTGTGATTTAAAGTCAGATGAGGCTCCTTGGTCTCACGGACTCTGTCTTGTAAACAGGAACACAGCTGGAGGAGGGTCAGAGTAGGAGCCTCTGGAAAGGGACCTGTGTTGCCCAGGTCTAAGGGTGGTAATGCCTTTTTGTTCCATTTCACTCACCCTTATCCTATCTCATCTGAGCACTGTCCTTGGGTTAGGCCTGTCTCTGCTCTGGAGTCAGCTAGGAGGAGCTGCCCTGAAAGCAATTCTGGAGTTTCGTCTCACAGGCACACCTTTACCAGAAATAAATTCCTGAGTTCTCAGGGACCCCATGGGGCGTGTCTGATCCAGCCCTGCAGAGGAGCTTGTAATCATCGTTGATTGCCCAGATTATCAGAATCTGGGCTCTGCTTTCTAGTTTGTTTGTTTTTTGCCAGAATTCCTGAAATGACCTTACCCACCCCAGATTCTGAAATGTAGCATCCATTGTCCCCAGCACATACCATGTCCAGCTCTGTATTCTTACCTTCTCCTGAATGCTAAAGCTAAAAGATAGAGGTTCAAGAGTATATAAATAGGGACTGAGATGGGACCACCTCAGAGTAGGAGGACAATTTTTTGTTGTTGTTTTTGACCCTTACCCAAGGATATTTTTTCCATTGATTTTTAGAGAGAGAGTGGAAGGGAGGGAGTGAGAGAGAGATATTGATGTGAGAGAGACACATCAATTGATTGCCTCCCGCATGCACCCTGACCTGAGGCCGGGGATTGAGCCTGTAACCAAGGTACATGCCCTTGACCCAAATCGAACCTAGAACCCTTCAGTCCATGGGCTTATGCTCTATCCACTGAGCCAAATCAGCTAGGGCTTTCTGTGTGTACTATTAATTGAGAATCAAACCAACGACCCTTCAGTGTGTGGGCCGATGCTCTATCCACTGAGCAACACTGGCCAGGGTAGTAGCAGGACAATTTTTATCGTGGAGATAAGTATGTTTTAGGAAAGCAGAATAGATGGGTCCCTGACACTTAACTAGGGAGTGTTGTCAAGGATGACATTCCATCTAGGATGTCTAAGATGGCACTTAAAAAATCAGATTGTAAGCAGAGGAAAGTGAGGAAGATTATTATGGAGAAAAAAATGTTAAATGTACAAATACTGTTTTTTCAATTTGTATGCCATGCCTCCTAAAGGATAAAAAACTTAAATATAGCCCGGCCAGTGTGGGTCAGTGGTCGAGTATCGACCCATGCCCTGAGGGATCACTAGTTCAATTCCCGGTTAGGGCACATGCCTGGGTTGCTGTGGGCTCAATCCCTGGTGGGAGCATGTTAGGAGGCAGCCGATCTTGTCTCATTAATGTTATTATCTCTCTCATTGTGCCTTTTCTCTCTCTGAAATCAATAAAGATATATTTTTGAAAATAATAATAGACAGAAAACTTATTCTGAGGCAGAATCCCCGAGGATTGGTCCAAGGGGTATTCTCATGCTGTTGAAAGGGAAACAAGATTCAAAACTTGCTCTGGCACTCAAGTCAATGGTGGAATTAAGAGAATCCAAATAATTCCAACCCTAAAACCAGGACTATCCCCATCTGCTGTACATGCCCTGGAGAATCTGAGTATTCAGAACTACTTTATTCCTTACTCCTAACCCTCTCTTCCAGTGGTTCTCAAACTTGGCTGCACATTAGAATCACCTGGGAATCTTTTTAAAATCCTGATTTCTGGGCCTCATCCTCCAGAAATTCTGTTTCTTTGTTACTAATGTTGTGGCCCCACCCCATAACAAAGAAACAGAATTTCCGGAGGATGAGGCCCAGAAATCAGGATTTTAAAAACATTCCCAGGTGATTCTAATGTGCAGCCAAGGTTGAGAACCACTGCTCTATTCCCAGTTAGAAGTTTGTATTTGCCTTTATTCATGGGCTTAGTTCCACTCATATTCAGGTCTATTCTAGCTCAGGGAACAAGCATTCGCTCCCTAGTTCCCCACACTGCCTGTGTTCCTTATCCCTGACATCTTATCTCCCCAAACCTGGATCTTGCCAGCCTAGACCTAATATAGCCACTTTCCCTTTGAATATTACCTCTCCACCAATCTTTACAGTCTCTGTTTCTGAAACTCCTATCAGACAAACATCAAAGCTTCTCACTCTACCTTCATTTTTCGTAGTTTCCTCTTCATATTTTCTGACTCCATAGCTCTCTGTGCTTTGTTCTGGACATTTTCTCCCATTCTTGTTTCATAGATGCTATTTATATTTTGTTTCTTTAAACATCTTTGAATGAGGTGAGTTTCTACTGAATCAGCTATTTTCAAGAGACTTGCAAGAAGGTTGAGGCAGGGCCACAGTTGAGGCTATTTTCTTTATGAAACAACTAGAGGCCCGATACACAAAATTCGTGCATGGGGTGGGG